CCCCAAAACCCCAAAACCCCAAAACCCCAAAACCCCAAAACCCCAAAACCCCGTCCTCTTAGCAAGGGTTGATCTTTAATTCATAAAATTTAGACTATTCATTTTGTGGTTAAGGAAACCGATCCCAGCTTTGTTGTGAGACAGGAAGTTCTGGACTGCTGATCCATCATTCGGCCCTTTATTCTTCTGAAGAGTTTCATAAGACCTTTCTTTGTAAATGTACTTATCTTTGGATTTGCTCTCTCCCTTTTTAGAGCCAGATTTTGGCTTACTTTGATGAACTAAAGATTAGGTAGGCTGATTTACTTTTTCCAGATGCAACAATTGAGGTAGACTTTGTCGGCTTATGAGAGGTAATGTAAGACCCTCCGATTTCACCACCATTACTACACTTGCTCTTCCTCTTCTGGCCAACTAAATATTAAAGATTTAGCCTTACTTGCTGATCTGGGAGCTTTAGATTTTGAAGGAGTGTGCTTCTTGTTACTTCCAGGTCTATCTTTGAGAGATAAACCAGCATTATTTACAGATTTTTGACTCATTGGCTGATTAGTATTCCAATGCCCAAAGCTATTGGCATCGTAAATTGCTGCGAAATTGTTTTTATTTCCTGACTTTTTCCCATTCTTCTTTTTAGAGGGATTTTCATTGGTAAATAAAGCATCGTCGTCTCTTGGATGGAACATCTTGGAGTCTTTATGCTTGTCATATTTAAGTAAGTCTTCTTTCTGAGATGAGAAATATCCTGAAATTGGTCCAGCTGTATTTCTATTATGAGAGGGCTGAGATACTTTGGGTCTTCCATCTTTTCCAGACTTCTTTGCATAATCCTTCATGATTTTCCTTTTCATTTCCTCAAAGTTCATGAGAGCCTTGTTGGCATCTTCCTTTTTCTTTTTACTCTTAATAGCTCTAGGACGTTGATTGACATCAAATGACATATTATGGTGAGGATCTCCTTTAAAAGTCTCTGAGTTTATTAAATACTGAGAGTTACTCTCCTTGACCTCCATCTTGCTATTTAAGATAGCTTTATCACCAAATTTCTCAATATTTCTGCTATTTTTCTCTCTGATTGAAGCAACTAAGTTGTTGGTAGGATGCTCCATTCCTGAAAAAGAATTGCTGATACCAGTACTGTTTCTGGCTTGTCGGTATTTTGCAAGTAATTTATCTGCATTAAACTGGCCAGCACAGCTATAGCTGTTCTTTTTCTTTCCAAAATCATTCTTCGGTTTTGAAACAGCTGATACATTTGTACGGTGCTTTTTGTTTGCTCCATCATGCTTTACTCCTTTGATATTGCCTCAAGAATCAAAGGAGCGATTGCCTCGAGATGATTTAGGTCTCATACTAGCGTTGACAACAGCCTTTTTGTTTCCAAACTTGCTATCGTCAATAAGCTTCCTTGACCGAGAGTAGTCTCCATCTTGAGTGTCTTGTGTCATCTTAGAATTAGAACCATGACCATTAGATGCTAAACTATGCTGCCCCTTAGACTTATGAGTAACTGGTGTTTTCTTTCTTCTCTTTTGTCTACTACTCTTTGATCGGAGAACAGTGTTCTGACTTAGAGGACGTTTATGGAAGCTATGGCTAGTCATCTTGTCTTTCAAATTCTTATTAGGAGCTTCTTCGTCACACAACAAGCTATCGTGACTCTCATCTCCGATTCCCATTGATTTTGTATGCTCAATATTACTTGAGGAGCCAATGTTGTCTTTGAGGGTTTTGTGGTCATCAGAAATGTTCTTAAAATATCCAGAGTCAAAGTCATCCAGAACTTTTTTAAGAAGTTTCTGCTTCTCTTCATTGCTCATCTGTTTCGAAAGGATTTCTATAACGCTTTTCTTGTGCACTAAGAGATTGTCAATTATGGATTTTGATTTAGATTCGAAGTTTGAATTCACTGAGTAAGAGTTCTTTAATTGATCGAAGTTGTTGTACTCTTCAACAGCACAAGTGTTTGACTGGGCTCTTTTGGATTTACTTTGGGAAGGATTTGAAGTATCCCTTCTCATTGTCTCTTGTTCAGGAGTGTCATCTGAAAAATATTTTATTAGACCTTCCTTATATTCTTTTAGGAGGTTATTTGTCACCTTGTAAGCAGGAGATAGTTCACAAGGTGTTATCATAACATTGACATCCTTTAGTTTTCGAATTAAGGGTTGAAATTTATTGCTTTCTATTCCATTTAATGGCTTTACACAATCTAGTTCATCTTCATTCTCTTCATCTTCTTTAATAGGCTGCTGTGCAGGAGAATGATGTTTCTGATAACTCAGCATAATATGGTTCACAAGTGGGCAATCACTTGGAAGGAAGCATCATGCGATTTCTAAGCTTTTAGCATGCCAATACTCAGATTCTGGTTCTTTTTCTTTCTTTGTAAATGTATGATCCTCGTTCAACTGTAGTATGAATCTGATCTCAGTTGATGCACAAAAATATCCTACAGCTAACAAAGCAACCTTCTCAAGGAAGGATGGTCTAGTAAGTTGGTTTTCATTTTTAGCGTTAATCATAAGATCCTCATTCTTAAGAGGATTAATTTGCATGATATTACCTATATTAATGTTTCCTATCCATTCGGATTGGTTGAAGTAGCCCAGAACAGATCTCATATCTAGTTTTTCTTCGAAGTCAAGGTCACTGTCATCAAATTTATTCTTGGAAGTACTCATGATTCCAAGCTGAGCATCCTCATCTTTAATGAGTTCCTCGATCTCCTTGTCAACTTCAAGAATTTGCTGATTGTTAGGATCATCCATTTCAAATAACTTGCTAATCTTTTTGTTGGGACTAATCTTTTTCTCTTTTATAAGTTTGTTCAGGACTTCTTTTATAACAGGATGAATTTTATTTAGCAGCCTTCTCCATGAGAGAGATACCCTCATCTAATTGATTTTTAGAGGCTTGTATCGCTGCCTCTGGATTACTCTTCATCATCTGGGTTATTCATTCGTAATAAGCCTTATGGTCATCGTTTAAGCTCTCTCCTTTGCTTTGTAAATGCTCTTCAATTACTTCAAGTTCTTCATCATTTGACTTATGGATATAAAATTTTCAGAGAGCGTCAAGATCTTTGAAAAGACCGTGAATTAGCTTGATACTCAGAATAGCTTGATTTAAAGCATCTTTATGTCTGTGAAGCTGAGAAAGAAGGGCTCATAATTGCATTCTAACCTTGCACTCTCTTTCCATCTGCACCATTCTTTGAGAGATAGATTGATTATTTTAGAGAGCTGTAGTCTCCAAGGAGTCTCAGTCAGTTTTCAACTGAGGCTGCTCACTCCTCAAGACTATTCATCCGTTGATAGCAAGCTGCCATATTATGAAAAACCAGGAAGGCCATTTGCTGATCTCTGCGACAGTGATCAAGGGAGATTACATTTATTATCCCATGAGCTTTTTGGAATAAAACAAGAGCTATTTCATACTGCTCTCTTGATATATACTTGATAGCACTATCATTCAGATCATTTAATACGATTGGCACTTCGTCTTGAGAGACTCTCAGTTCTTTATTATAATGTTTATTTAAACGTAGGATCTGTGTCAGGATTACCAATTTTAGTATCCTCTCCCTTCCGGTCAAGGAGATCTATATCAGCAAGGGAATCTTCCTTATTTCCTTCTTGTTTTGACATTTATAGGCAGTATAAAATTTTAAATTATAAAATAGAAGTTTAAATTTTTCACATTCAAATTGGGGTTTTGGGGTTTTGGGGTTTTGGGGTTTTGGGGTTTTGGGG